TCCTTGAATGGGAAATAGCTCTTGGAAGTATTTCCTGTACTATTTCCAATAAAGAGCAGGTCTAGGCTCAGACAGCGAGGGTGGGGCAGGGAGAGGGATGAATAGAGAAAGAGAGAGACTTAGCAGTACCTTTCAAATCCCCTGTCAAATCTTGTTAGAATGAAAAACAATTTTAGTGTCTGGGGTAGTTTATTGACCAATGAACACAATAGAGTTAGAAATGAAAAATTTAAAAATCTCATTCTATTTGTTTAGATGCCAAAGATGAAAAATTTATCAAAGCATCCTAATATAAGATGTAATGTTATTGATAGATTTCATACACTGTATATAAATAATTTTTATTGTATACATTTTGATATGTTTGAAATTTTTACTTAAATTATTAGGCCAACAACCTCATGACACAATCTCAAAGATAAACAGGATTTATGTGAGTATATAGTTAATAATGAGATTTTGAATTCTTTAGGGTCTAATCCAAATCAATCTAAAGGTGAGTCACAGGTTATCTGAACTGCAGTACCAGGGTTAGAAATGAGTTTTAAGGCCCTTACTTATAAAAATATGCTTTCTGGACTAGCAATATGAGCATTGTGCAGAACTACTTAGAAATGCAGATACTCAGGCCCCACCTCAGACCTACTGAAACAAAATTTGCATTTTAACATAAACCCAAGATGATTTACTTATATGTAAAAATTTGAGAAAACTCTGTTTAAGCTATTTCTTGATCCTTTCCAAAGCTTCACTGCTTTGTTCTAATTTCCAGCACTATTCCCATTTCTCTCACTCATCCACATACTCCATTATTTTTATTTAAGAGAGTCATCTCTTCTTCCCTCTTGTTCTTATCTCCAAAGTGAAATCCATAGATTTGTAACTAGGTAACTCACAAGCTGCATTCACAAGTTTCTTTTAACCAAAGTGTCATCCTGATGACACTTAACATCTTTGAACAATTTACTGACAAACCTGAGCCCACTCAATATTGTTTCTTTAAAGATGCATATGAAAGAAAGGGGTGTGGGTCATTCCCTATGGCTGGCACAAGGGTATTCACACTATTTACTACATCCTTGCTTCAAAGCCTTGCTTTGGTCTCCCTAGGATTATGCTTCAGTAAAAGCAGGCAGTCGTTCAGGGGGAAAAAAAAAAAAAACAACATAATTTATCCTGTGTAAAAAGAACAATGCTATTACAAAAAGCAGTGCCAGAGGCTCCCACAATTTCTGTGTTGCAAAAAGCCACTGCTGCTGCTAAATCACCATTATTACCCTGGAACCACCTGGGAACATGCTAATTTATGCCCAAAGCAATATTAGTATTATTGTTTATTTTACTCTCATTATCTAAATAGACATAGCCCAAACTAGGTAGGTTGCTTTAATTTTTGTTGTCTCCTAGTAACACAGAACAACAGCCAATAGTTTTAGTAAATTTCACTGCAAAGTCAGAAATCATTTCTTATTTTTCAATTGTTCCAACTCTTATCAATAGTTACTAGAGACAGTCAATGTGCTTGGTGCTGGAGAGAAATCACTCAGGTAAGCTGAGGCTACTCCTTCTGTTTCTCCATCTGCTGAGCTGTTAACATGAAGACATATTGACAAGAGCTCAAGGAAAACATGGAATATTTCATCAGTAAGATTATACTGCCCTAGAGACAGATGTTAGAAAGCTGTAATATTTAAAAATAAAGAGATAAACACATGTTTGTGGGGAAAGAATAAAATAGTTTCAAAGGTAAGGGAGAAAATTAAAAAGATGGAAAGATAGATGTGAGATTTGTATTGGCACACAAAATGGCAAATTCTACTTATGCACACACACAAAAAAAAGACTTTTATATCTGCCTCAGGCAATCATTTAAGAATAACATTAGGCAGAAATTCTCAGAGTGCACTGGGGTAGATTTGTAAGAAGTACTTAGCAGGGCTGATTATGATTACAGAGAACAGACTTATCTCTTGTCATCAGATAGTTAATGTCAGGGCTTAGACTTAAATCCATATACACCAGTTTTCATAAAAATTTAAACATGAAATATGCTATATACTTTGGTAATTCACATTTAGTGAACATAAAAACAATGTTCAGTAATGATAACTCTGGATTTATCTAGTGACTTTCATGGGAGAGGTCAAAGTATGTGGTGAGCCGCTTCTGCCATTTCTGCAGATTATGGTCGCCATTACAAGATGACGCTGGCTCCGCTGTGGTCTGTGACAAACAACTCCTTATCTGGGAAAGTTGGCACATGATTTTTCACCACCCTGTGAGAAAGCTCCACGCGGCAGTTTTGCATTGGGGCTTGGGATGCTTTATTAAGGCTGGGAGGGGCATCCGAGAGGAGAGAAGAAGAAATATCAAGGGCCTGAATAAACTGCTGAAAGAAGATTCCCGAGTTGCGTCTTCCTTGCGGGCAAGGGGTCGCGACAAGTGGTGCCGAGACCCGGGAACCAGAACTTTCAGCAGTCAGGGGTGGTGCACCGGTTAGTCCCAGGTAAGTGGGATCCGCGACCAAAGCGGGGTTAGTCCCAATAAGTGGGATCCGCTATCAAAGCGGGGTTAGTCCCAGGTAAGTGGGATCCGCGACCAAAGCGGGGCAGCTCCTCTGTAAAGAAAGAGAGAGCATTACATTTTATTGCAGCTGCACTGTGTACTTTCGCTTTTGTTTTCTGTGTTTCTTTTGCTGTGTCATTTCGCTTTTGTTTTTTGTGCTTCTTTTGTTGTTGTGACGACAGGGACGCTCCCCTGTAAAAGGAAGAGAGCGGGGATTTTTGTACTTTCACTTTCTTTATAGTTCTAAAAATATTATGGGTGTTGCTTCTTCAAGCCCAATTTTGTTGGCCCTAGATGGGTTGTTACATTCAAAAGGACTTAAGATAAAGCAGAGCACTTTGCAGATGTTTTTGAGAGAAGCTGATATAGCGGCTCCTTGGTTTGCTTTTTCAGGGAGTCTTAGGATTCCTAGCTGGGACAAATTAGGGAAAGATCTAGATTTCGCTCATGAGCAAGGTACCTTGCAGGGTGGCGTTATACCACTTTGGAAGTTAGTTAGAGGATGTATAACAGATGGTAAATGCCAGGAAGCTGTGAGTGAGGGTCAAGCTATTCTTGAGCAGCTGCATGAGGAAAAATCTGAAGGATCATGTAGTGAAGTGGCAGAGAGTATTAAAAGTAACAGTAGTGAGAAGGCATAAGAGCCTGAAGATAAAAATAGGAGAAGGCTCTACCCAGACTTGACCGAATTAAAAACGCCTGAGAACACAAGCGACTCAGAGAGTTCTGAGGACCTTGATATATTGTTACAACAACTACATAAGATAAAAATGAAAAAGAAGAAAAAGGAGACACAGGGCACACAGGCCTACTGTAAGAAGGGGAAGGGAGTTAACATCGGTCAACAAAACTCTGAGGAGGAGGAGGTAGAATATCTAGAAGAAGATATGGTGCCAATTGCCCCACCTCCGTATGTGGGGGGGAGCCAAGGTTCCGGGAGATCTTTTCATGCACAAGTTTGGAGGACAGTTAATACAGATATGGGACTTGCATACCCTGTATTTCAGGACAATAACAGGGGAAGATATCATGAGCCTTTAGACTTTAAGATAATTGAAACCTTGGCAGAATCTGTCCGCACTTATGGCATAGATGCCGCTTTCACTCTCACTCAGGTGGAGGGACTTACTAGATTTTGCATGACTCCCTCAGATTGGGCTAGTCTAGTCCGCGCTTGTGTTTCCCCAGGGAAATATTAGGAGTCCAAAGTTGGCTGTTTAATGTTTCTGGCAGTACCCAAGACTCGGAGCGAGGTAGGAGGCTTAAAATTTCTGCAAATAATTCACAAATATCTAATGCTACATTACCCTCCGCAGCAGTCCGTCTCCAATCTCCGTTCCTGTTTCTTTTGGCTATTGTTACATTACAGGGGATGCTTAATTGTTCTAATATTACCTGTTATTTGTCTGAGTGTTGGAATGGCTCCTGGACTACGGCAGTGGTTATGAAAATTCCAACCTTTGTCCCGATTCCAGTTACTACAGATCCAGAGTCATTTCCTATTGTTGAACTGATTAGAGCCCGTAGAGATTTTGGAATTACGGCAGCCATAGTGACAGCTGTGGCAGTGTCTGCTGCTGCAGCAGTTACAGCTGGAGTAGCCATGGCCAGCCAGGTACAAACTGCTGCCACCATTAATCAGGTTATTCAACAAACATCCACCATACTTGAATCTCAAAGTAGAATTAATCAACACACTTTATCTGGGATTCTAGCTGCTAATCAAAGGATAGATCTGCTTCAAGCTCAAGTTGAGGAATTGTCTGACCTAGTACATTTGGGTTGTATTGATCAACGTGCACATTTATGTATAACCTCTGTCAGATTTTATGATTCCAGAAATGCCTCCCGCATCATCGGGGAATATTTATCCGGAACCTGGTCCATGGAAGCAGAAAACTTGATCCAGTCTCAACTAACTCAGATTGCTGTTCTGAATAGCACCCGAGTCGAACCAGTGACTTTGGGTCAATTCACCAGTTGGCTATCCTCTGCCTTTTCCTTTTTTAAGGAATGGGTGGGAATGGGCATTTTTGGTGCAATGTGTTGCTTCGGTGTTGTACTTTGTTTGTGGCTTCTCTGTCGCCTTAAAACTCGCCATGCACAAGAAAAGGCTATGATCATACAAGCTCTTGCAGCTTTAGAAAATGGCAACTCGCCTCAAGTCTGGCTTGCGCATCTTAAGCAGTAAACCTTTGTCATGGTCGTTACACCCCAAGTTATTATAACATTGCACTGGGATCGACATGACTTTCCTTGTTATTCTCTTAGTGTTGGAAAGCCCTTGCACTCTGCCGGTCTTACTGCCATTGCACGCAGATGGGTTTCCACACTAGTGCTTTTCTATCGCCTTGAAGTTCGTGCCTTTCTTTCAGGGTGCTGTCAACTTGTTTGTCCTTATAAACAGCCACAGTTCAGCCTCAGCTATCCCCCTTCGTCCACCATCATCACGATACAGGATGCGAGGCAAGGCACTGCACTTGAGTGATCCTTGACGAGGACCTCAAGGAGAGCATGTCCTATTGCATGCGGGTTAGACGCATTCACGCCCCGCCCCACGAAAAAAGGCGTCGGCTGATATGGCTTCAGATCTGGGGAAGGCGCCTCCTTAGGACTGAGTCATACTATGCAGCCACTTCTGCACAGTGGGATAGGACCTCTACTCTCGCCTGTATTGTTTTAAGAAAACAGAAAAGGGGGAACTGTGGTGAGCCGCTTCTGCCATTTCTGCAGATTATGGTCGCCATTACAAGATGACGCTGGCTCCGCTGTGGTCTGTGACAAACAACTCCTTATCTGGGAAAGTTGGCACATGATTTTTCACCACCCTGTGAGAAAGCTCCACGCGGCAGTTTTGCATTGGGGCTTGGGATGCTTTATTAAGGCTGGGAGGGGCATCCGAGAGGAGAGAAGAAGAAATATCAAGGGCCTGAATAAACTGCTGAAAGAAGATTCCCGAGTTGCGTCTTCCTTGCGGGCAAGGGGTCGCGACAAAAGTACTTTGTCTTATTTTTACTAAATTAAAAATACTAAAAAGAGGAATACAACTGAAGGTTATATAAAATATTTACAGATCACATATACTTGTCATTCATTAAGTCAACAGTTAACATACTTAAACAGCAGATTCTCCTTTCTGTTGAAGTTTTAATATTTTTGTAAATAAAAGGCAAAAAGAGTGGCAATAGGGAAGCAGAAGGAACTCTGGCTTTGAATTCAAACAGACTTAGGTTCAGATTCTGGACACTTCTTTTGCTTTTTTGAGCTTCAGTTTCCTCATCTGTAAAACAAAGATGATGACTGCCTACCTCACAGAGTTGTTGATAGAATTAAATATATTATTAATAAATGTCACAGCACTGTATGTGAACACTACAGATCCTCAAGAAATGGCAAGTTTCATCATTACAAAAAACAATCCACAAACTCACACAATCAAGTGGATTAGGGATTCCAACTTCTGCTTGTATGCCAGAAACACTTACTACCTTCTCCTACTGGGAAGGGGGGAAATGCCTCTTTAAGAAGGAAGAGCATAGGACAAAGGGAAAGTTCCAGAGAGGGGACAAGGAAATAGATATTTCTACCAGAAAAGTGGAGGAAAGGGGCATGCGGTCTGACGCAGTGGTCCTGTCTACCCTTTCAAGAACAAAAATCAGATAAATAATGGCAAAAACTGAAATTTAGGAAGTTTCAAGAATTTGCTCTCCTTCCTGTTTAGCATTCCAAGAAACAACCTTGCAGGATAACCACACTCAACATAGGACAACTACAAACAAAAGAAAATGGCAGCATGGAATTGGTCGGCCAAGGAAGGTTCTGTAATGGCAGGCTCAAGCTTCCTTGGGTCTTGCACAGTCACTCTTGCATCCAGGTCTTCCTTTATGATCTCAGTAGGATATATGGAAAGTTGTTGAGAGTTGAAAATCAGAAGTCTTTCAGATCACTGTGAGATGACCTCAGAGCAGATGCTGCACAGCAGACAGGTTAAGCCAGCATTCAGAGGGTAGATATGGCTGAGACGTGTGGACCTGCAACGCTGTTGAGAAGTAAGAGAGTAAATGAGTAAGGGAGGACAAAAGGCTATGGTTGCACTGGAAAGCTATGGAAGAATACTAGTTTAACCAATGACAGGCTTCAGTAGTAGATCAGTAAGGCAACAAGTAACCATGTTTGGCCTATATTTATCTCCACGGAACTCAGGGAGAACTTAGATAATAATACAAAAAATCCAGACTAATCCTCCCCTCCCTACCAGGAGGACATATGAATATATGTCCTGATACCTAAAGCTATTTCTGCCTTTAGAATAAAGGTGTGTATAGGTGTGTGTGTGTGTGTGTGTGTGTGTGTGTATGTAGAACAGTGAAATATTAAGATTTGTCCTGAAGAACCTTTTGCAAACCTAAAACAGATCCTTCCGCTCCCATCTTTAAATCTTATACCATCCAACTTCACTCAAAAGGAACTTAAATTCTAAAAAAATGAGACTTTCTTGGCTGTTAGATGCAATGTGTCCAGTTCTTTAAGTATTATTTTCTTTTACTGAGACCAGAATAGGAACACAAAACACACACTATGTATCTTTATTCATAATTTAAAGTGCCGTACCTACATTAAGTAACAGAAAGTAGTATTTATACACATTATTTTCTCTTTAAAATTACAATATGGGTACTTTAGAAGATCCACCCATTTATCCAATAAATCAATGGCTGCTCACTAGTAACTACCATGAATGAATAATCTGCCAGGCATTAAGGAAACATTTAAGACATAGACCCTATCCTTAAGGTAAAGAGATTTATGTAATGCATGAAAAGAATATTTAAACTAAAGAAAGGCTAGTGGAATATAACACAGTAGTATGCCACAACTATAAAGGTGAATTATCTTTTCCCACCTGTCATTTGCACACAGAAGTAATAGATAGAGGTTACTATCTAGAGAAACAAAAAGCATTTTTTTGTACAAAGTCATCATTATAGAAAAGTCTGTTTCCAGAATCACAATGATGAATCAAACTGCAGAATGATATAAAATCCAATTGAAGAGGAAGATGTGAAGGAATAGGTTAAAAATACTATCATTATTACCTTTCTCATTTTATTATACACACTGTTAGTATAGGTATGCAAAAGAAATTATAGAAAAACTAAACATTACACGATTGTTTTAATTATCTCAGTAAACACTGCTTGGTATTTTTAAGAAATTAAAAGCTAAACAATTGTAATAAGTGTTCTAGGGTAGTTTAATAGTATAGACAGTTTCATAAAGATTCCCTTCAATATATGAATGTTATAGTCACAAATAACAAATTAGAATAAAAATAATAATAAAAAATATGAACATTATAGCCTTTAATTTCTTAGCTTATTAAGATCAAGTTTTTACCAGGTTTTCTTAATGGTTGGTTAGGGAAGTCTGAGGAATATACACTAATTGTTAATGTGACTTTATGAACACATAACAGAATTCTATGGCTTTACTTTAAAAATATTCTATAATGTTATAAAGATATTAATCTATAAAAATAGCACGGCAGAATGTTTTCAGAAAGGCTTTTGCTCTGGCCCTTTGATCCATTATCCATTTACAGAATTTTTAATATTCTATTTTCCTTACCTCTTCTACCATAAAGTATATTATATTTTATACACTAGAGCATAGAGAGTACCCAGAAAAAGGATTAGGAGAATCTCTGCTTTAATCAGTTATCTCTGACAAAGTTGGTATTTCATTCATCCTAAATGTACACCATACACTGATTGAAAGGTGACATTGTTAGAGATTATAAATAATTCAACAAATGAAATCTTTCTGATTAGTATTTCAAAACAATATTTTATCTTTTCCCAACCCCCTCCTTTTCTTCATAGAGTGCAGATGCATTTGAAATCTATGGTTTTTGGCATATCTGGGGTAAGGTTATACTAGGAATTTACCAGACCTGTCAGTCTCTAACTTTCTTCCATATTTCATTATATCATTCCAGTTATAATTAGTTGTCTGGTAAAATTAAGAACAGTCTATTTCAGTGAATGCTCATGTGAACATTTAACAACTTTTTGTTAGAATGACAGCTTAGCGACAGGAAGAATAAACCAGAAAGGGAGAGTCACCGAAGTAACCTTAGTTAACTCAATATTGTCTGCTCAATTGAAAACGCTAAGATTTTGCTTTTTTTTTTTTGGTTATTAATCATCAGACACATATTTTTTGTCAGGAGATGTGCAGCAGTTTGATGGCATTCCTGCCTCAACCAGCATGTTTTGAACTGACCTGTCTTCATTGCTATGGTTCCCTAGAAACTTTGCTGCTGATGAGTGTTGATTCAGCTGAATGCTTTGACATTCAGCTTGTCAGTGAAAGCTATTTTAATTGTTAAGATGCATCCCCCTTCCAAGACTGCAAACTGTTGCTATTCATACACAACATTCTATCATTTGATTACTGCAGAGAAGCAGAGAACCTGAATAGTTACTAGTACTAGAGATCATTTTAAGGGTCCAAATCTACAGAATATTTATTATGTGAGGAGTTGTGCTTAGCAATTTATAGAAATCATCTTATTTAATCCTCACAGTTGTGGAGTCTGACTACGTAAGTGTGAACCTCTGTTCTCTACTTACTACCTACATGATGAGCAGCCCTCTCTGTGACATGATTTCCTCCTCTGTAAACTGGAGTAACAGTACCTACTTCACAGCAACATCAGAAGAACTAAATGAGACACTTCAAAGACAGTCCATAGAATAGTAAATATGGCATAGTGAGTTCTATAGTGTTAGCAATAATTTTTATTACTGCTTTTTACATGAAAATACACTATTTTCCTTCATCAGCTGTCCTACTCACCATCACTTCTTTAACTGTCTCTGTTGCTCAGACCCAAAAATGTGGAAATAACAGAAAATGAAACTTAATCTTTTCAGGACATTTTTCTATACATATCTGAACTCTAGCTCCATAAGAGTAGCACCACAATTGTGGCAAGTAAGAAACTTTTTTTTTTCCTTTTCTTTTTTTTCTTTCCCATTAGGAAGCTAGGCCTATGTTCTGGTGACTTCCTGGTGAATGGGTTAAAAGTGAAGCTTCAGACAGTTTTGAGGATTTAGGAGTAGAGAGGTCAATTCTGTAGGCTTCATTGAGAGGCATCATGACAGCAACAAGGTGGTAGAATTTCATAGTTTGCTATGCCCCGGCTTGTGCAAAAGCAGAAGAAATACATGTTATGTGTGTATGCAAAATAACTTAATATACTATGTCAGTGGAGGGGGAAGCAACAAGGATCCCATGCTACTAGCTCAAATTCCCACATTCCAGAGCACAATGGGAAGCTTCCCATTGTGGCAAACACTTCACTGTGCTCTTACCAGACTCCTTTCTTTCCCTCCTGAGCACAAAGCTAAACTACGTTTCCCAGTCTCCTATGCAATTAGCTGGGGAAATGGGACTCACTTTTAAAACCTATATGAACTTCTATGTGTACTTTCTTCCCTTATCTGCTACCTGAGTGTCTATGACACAGTAGAAGACACGATTCTATAAAATGGCAGACACCAATTCAAGAACTGAAACTTAGCATTTCTTTCAACCATGAATATAAGCACTAGTGAACAGGAGTATTAGTAATACTCTTTCACCAATGAAAATCATGTTCAAATTATATCACTGTTATTAGAGATCTCAATATTTACACTCAAATTTTCTTTGAAATAACTATAATCAATAGACACACTGGTAGATTTTTAAACTTCATATTCTAATAAGTACATATATTATGATAAAAGGCATTTTAAAAATAGGGATAACTGTATTTCAAAACGTTATTTTCTTTTATAATCCCATATGATTTTTATTGCTTTATAAAACATTTTTCTGAGGTGGGATTCTCAGGCTTCACTAGATTGCCCAAAGGGGCTACAGAAGAAAATTAACAAAAATCCCCTCTAAATGGATCCTCAAATGCCTTTCTGGAGTACAGTTCCTTTTTTCCTCTGCTCTATATAACCCCACCACATTGAAGTGAACAATAAGATTTTAATGTGTTTAGTTACTGATATTTGGAGGTTATTTTTTAAATTTTATTTATTTATTTATTTATTCTAATTTGTTATATATGACAGCATAATGCATTTCAATTCAAATTACATATATAGAGCACAGTTTTTCATGTCTCTGGTTGTACACAAAGTAGAGCCACACCAATCGTTTCTTCATACATGTACTTAGGGTAATGACATCCATCTCATTCCACTGTCTTTCCTATCCCCATACTCCCTCCCTTGGAGGTTACTTTTTACAGCAGTTGTTAGCAGTTATTATACAAAATAATAAACCTTTGTTACAAAACAGCCCAAACATGGTATAGAGTACCCAAGATCTAAAGAAGACTATGGGTGGAAAAGACCCAGAAGTGAAGAGTGAGGACAAGATTAGATGGGATGATTAAAAATATCTCAACAGATTCTACCTGGGAAGAAAGTGAAGATTAATGTGGGAAAAACATTAACTTACAACACAACAATTATAGTAATATAAAAAAGCAGCATAATGTTTTTGAATTTTGAAATTGTACACTGAGTTTATATCTGCCACAAAATAATTAATTTTCTTATTTAACATTTTTTTTCCCTTACTAGAATGGCAGCTATTTTTGTTTCTCATTGCAGATGCTAAGTACTTTTTAATTCTTCCAACTTTATATATCTCTATATAAATATATTTATATATTCTTTCAACCATTTTTCAACTATATTTATATATAGATATATAAAGTTGGAAGAATTAAAAAGTACTTAGATACACACACACACACAGTTTTAAAGCAATCTCTTATTACTGTTCTTATTAGCTAGAGTTTAATATAAAGAGAAACAAAGAGCCATAAAAATTAGATCAATATTGAATAAGTCCTTCTATACAGAAATTTGAAAGTTGATGATTTTTTAATAGTCTGTTGATTTAAATAAAATAGCCTTGATAGAGCTCTCCAGGGTTTTAAAGACAGTTATAAATTTGCCAATACTTCTTTCAAGGTATTAAGTTTTATATAATTTTATCTTCCCTCTTAGACTATTTTGCTGCCTTTATTTTAACCCTAGATCAAACAAATCATACTGTGAAACCTTCAGGTTATTAAAAGGCAGATGAAAAGACTCCTTTGAGGATAGTCTCTTTCTAGCCCCCAAGAAATTAATGTATCCAAACAATTTTAACCTATAGAACTATAAATGAATGAAAATAAAATGTGGTTAGTGTGCTGGATATCCAGGATCTCAGCATAAAAATTCATAAAAATATAGTCTAACTTATTCTTAAATGCTATATACTATAAACATCAGTCTGTCCTGATCACTGCTGTATACCCAGCTCCAAATCTAATGCCTGGCAAGTAAGAATTTTTATGAATGACTAAACTGGTCAAATAGCACTCGTTTAAATTATATGCAGTGTACCCACACTGGACTTTGCCAGAAGTCCATTTACACATGTAAGGGTAAGGTCACTAGGGTAAGAAGTTAAAAGTTCAAAATTGCCAAAAGCTCACCAACCCTTGAAATTGTTAAAGGGATAAAAATTCTTTGATGGAAGAAATATTCTGGTATTATATCATTTCAAATGATATTATTTGCAAAAAAGCAGTCTTTTCAAACTACTTTTCAGTGGCTTTTTAGTATGTTTTATAAAGTACAATAGCTATTTTTCTCTTTGTTTTTTCATGTTAATTTTTTTCACATTAAAAAATATATAATAAGGAACCCCCTGAGTACCCATTTCTCACCTTAACAATTACCATATATTGCAATCCTTATTTTTTATCTTTAGTGCTGGGTATTGAACCAGGGTGTTGTGCCATTGAGCCATGCCCCCAGGCAGCCATTCTATTTCATTTCACCTCCTCCTCCTCATTTTTTTTCTTTTTTTACAGTAGAATTTTAGAACAAATTGTAGACAACATTATTTCAACTGTAATTATTTTAGTATGTATCTCTTAAAAAATACTTTTTTTTTTGGTACTGCGGATGGAACCCAGAGGCACTTTACTACTGAGCTACATTCCCAGCCCTTTTTATTTTTAGACAGGGTCTCACTAAGTTTCTGGGGCTGGCCTCTGACTTGCCATCCTCCTGCCTCAGCCTCCTGAGTCACTAGGATTACAGGGTGCATCACTGTGCCAGACCTAAAAGATAAAGACTTTTTATAATCTAACAATATAATAACATTTAGCAAACTTAACAAAATTATTTTTAAAAAATCTTTAAATTCTTAATAGAATACAGTTCATGTTCAAATTTTGCCTGGTTATCTTAAAAGTTTTGGACTTGGCATATTTGAATTAGGATCCAATATTCCTAACATTTGAGTTTGGTTGATATTTTTAAAGTTTTGCTTTAATAGAAACTCCTTTCCTCCTTTTAAAAAAATGCTATTTACTTGTTGAAAAAAAAACGTTCATTTGTTCTATAGAAATTTTCTCATTCTAGATTAGGTTAACAGCATTCTCCTATATAGTTCCAACTATTTTCTGTAACAGTGGTAATTGCATTTTACATACACATACAATTTTCTTTTGGCAAGAATATTTCATAATTGATGCTATGTAATTTCTGTTGAATTGGGAGGTATTTATGTCTACTTTTAGTGATGTTAAGATTGATGACTGACTTCAAGTGTTTGTTGTGAGTCCGATCCATCGTGACAAAATACTCCAAGTTTCACCTACTGTATTAGCTATTGATAATCATTGGCTAGATCCATTATTTCATCAAGCAAAATGATGATTTTATAATTTTATATGATTTTATAATTCATCCCCACTTATTTACTGGAATTCTAAAAAAAAGAAATTTCTTTCACCAACTACATGGTTACCCTGAATTAGAACCCATACCAAAAAAGGAGGATAAATGTATGTTTCTTTTACTTAATTTGATCTACACGCTGTATGTTAGTGTCACATTTACTTCCAAGAGTGAGCAACCTACACTACACTACTCCTTCCAACCTACTCTACAACTCTTCCCTAAAGTAACAGGTAGTTTTTAAGGTGAAACCTAGTATGACTGGAATGGTCTAAGATAGGATGTGATTGGGCAGGCCAAGGTATGATGCAAGGATTATAGGATAGGAAGCGATGGATCAGGGAAGAGAGAATACCTCAAGCAGGCTCTAGGAGGCGGAATCCAAGTCTTCTGAGCTGTCCTGGACATCAGTGCTCCCCGTGGATTCGCTAGGTTCCTTGCTGTCACTCCCACTATCAGGGACAGCCGGGTTCTCCTGCTGACAGGTCTTTTTAGAACCAGGAAGTGTGCTGCTCTGGCTCTCCTGGTTCTCCCTGGAGCCCAGCACCACATACCCGCCCTTCTCCTTCAGCTCCGGCTGCCTTCTTAGCTCATCTGCCATTTGTGAGAGATCCCGCTTCATAGCATAAGCATCTTCCCCGTCTGCATAGTATTTGGATTCCACCTCACTGACCTGAAAGTTGAGAGTGTTAGAATAGAGGTGCAAGGCCGCCCGGTTACTCTTCCTGACGTGCAGGGACACATACTTGGCACTAAAGTTCTCTATCATGGCCCGAGAGGCCTGGTCCATCAGCTTCTGAGCCAGGCCGAGGCGCCGGTGTGAGCGCTTCACAGCCAGTGAGGTGATATGCCCATGGGGGACATCATCAGGGTCCTCTTCCATCTTGGCCAGGACATAGCCCACAATCTTCCCGTCCTCGTCCTCAGCGATGTAGGAGAGCTGAGGCCAGGAAAGGCCATGGTAGAAATAGTATTTCATCTGGTAGTTCTCGGGAAGGCAGAGGAGGTTGCACTGTTGCATGCTCATCAGGTCGTCTGGCCGAGCATTGCGGATGTTCATAATGGCAGCAGGCAGGGAGCCGGTTGGACTGAGGTGAACAGAAAAAGGCTATCGCCAGCACAAGGGGCCCGCTTCGCCTCGGCTAATTGAGTCCCGGCAGCCAAAACCTAGCGCCTAGGGCGTGGAGGCGGGAAGGCAGGAAGGCCAGAGGCGGAAAGGGCGGTGCCAACTGACTCCGGAAGTGCCCGCCCCAGCCAATGAAGTTCCACCTCTTTGTTCCCTCGCTCCTGGCGAGGGGGTGCGGAGCGGGTGTTCTTGAGAATCCTTAGGGTTTAAATGAAGTGACCTATTGATGTTATTATCTTTGATTCAGTTTTAACTTTTGAGTGCATCTAGATATGTTTTCGCCATCTGAACAAACCCATATAACCAGAATTCAGATCATTGCCTGCACCCCTTCAGGAGTCCCATATATGCTCCCTTCCAATATCTGCCACACCCCACATCCCCAAACTAGCACTAGACTTCTAAGAGACTTTGTATAAATGCATTTTTTTTCTGTGCAGGGTCTCTTTTTAATTTTGTTTATTTCCCCACTCGTGAGTTTCAGCTACTTTTGTTGTGTACACTTGAGGGTTCTTTATATTCGTTCCTGTTGTATATTCCATTGCCGGAATATCACAATTCATTCATCCATTTTACTGTTGATGGTTATTTGTGTTATTGAATATTGACACATATTTACATACAATTAGGATCAGCAGATGTAGTGATGTGCAAGTTTTATAAATATTGCCAAGCAATTTTCCAAACTGGTTGGTACACATTCTTATCAACATTAGGTATTTCCCATCTTTTTCATTTTATCAATTTTTGTGTGTGGTTTCATTTTGCATTTCCCTGGTGACTGGCGAGGTTGAGCACCTTTTGAGACTTATTAATTTTTTTATATTCTCTTTTGGAATGTTACTGCTCAAGTCTTTTGCTAATTTTTTTCTATTGTGTGTCTTTTTCACATTAATACTTAGGAGTTTTTTTTCAAAAATACATTCTCGATATGAATCTTTTACCAGATATATTTCTAACAAATATCATACTTTTTCTTCTGTTGCTTTCTCTTTCATTTTTCCAATGCCGTGTTGAAAACAGCATCAAAGTTCTTAAATCCAGTAATTTTACCACATATTCCAAAATGACTTTTCCCCCCATAGTGCCACAAACAGGCCATGTCTAAATAAATATTAGAAAATAATTTTTTTAAAAAAATCATTTTAAGTTAATACTTTACTCTGACAGTGGGTAATAGTTATAAGACCGAAAAGTGCCTTTGCATTTAATATGAGCCAATGGCAAACAGAGATTAATAAAAATGTATATTTTATTAGGCTAACATTAGAATGCAATCATATGTTTAGGACTTCTGTGATTGTATGTGGACTAGCTATAGGTAGAGAGGCGCTCTAGACCAAAGCGGACTAATCCTCAATTAGAATAGCAACTGCAGGCAAAGGGACAAGTCAAAGGAAAACTGACTTAGTTTAGGCACTGGGTTATCTTTGTCTTTATGAATTTGTGTTCACACCTAATACAATTACTTTTTTCTCATAGCAAAAGGTAATGTGAGCCAGATGATTATCAAAGAAAATTTCATTCTGATCAAGTCCTCAACAAGTTTTCTTTAAAGAAGGAAAAAGCCTCTTTGGCTTCTTATGACAAATGTCCTGACTCTAGGATGCTAATTTATATCAGATATAATGGAAGCTTTGGATTAGAAGCACATCCCAAATGTTGTGCAGCAATAGCTGGCTACACCCAAGAAGGTGGACACTTGTTAAATATGAGTGGGACTTTTAGGCAGTTTTTATCCTAGAAGAGAAACTCAATCCTGGCAATAATGGTATGTCATGTTCTAAAGTGAGAACTGAGAAAAGTATTCGCATATGTTTTTTAGAGTCTTTGTAATAAGAAAGTCTATTTAAGAATTTAGATTTCCTGGAAGGGAATAGCGAATGAAATGAAATATAAACATCTAAAGACAGTTTCTAGTAGACAAAAATTATCTACAACCCTTTTCCAAGTTTGGGAGAACAAAAAAAAAAAAGCCTCAATAAATTTGGATCAATGTGAACTGAAGTTCTGTATGGTTTTTGGGTTGTATTATAAAATAAAATAAAATAAAATGAATTAAAGAACCTTTTCTGGGTCATATTTAGTAGTATGTGAGATTCAGGTTAACAAAAGGAAGGATCTGATGACAGGAAGTGGTGGTAATACTGTACTATGCACTACTTGAAAATATTCAAAATTCTGTCTCTGCTAGGTCTGCTTTGCCTAATGAATGCAAATGTGAAGGATTTTGTTAGGCCTTTTCTTGAAGTTTTCCAATGATTCAACATTTTGATTAATTCTGAAATATAATCAGACTTAATTTCTAGATGTGATAGACAAGCAACCATTGTAATGATTATTGTTGCATGTGGGAGAATTGCCTGGACAAGGTTCAAGTAGCCATAGTATTTGCTTTGGCTCTTTCTCATCTTTTCAGATTTGAGACACATGTCACCCTTTATATGAAGCTGTCTCTTACTATGTTTTCCTGAGAAAATCGAATTGCTTCCTTATTCGTGTATCAGTTTCACTCATATCTGTATGTGTATTTCATGCTTTCTTAAATATTTTCTCCTCTGTTTCTTGAGAACATGACCTTGCCTTATGAAAACTGTTGTTTTTAGGGACTAGCAAATTGCATGCTGTATAGTGTGTCTTGAATGGGTGCTTATAGAATAAATATGTAATTGGAGGTACAAGTATATTAAGACAAGCTAAACAAGTCCTTTCTTTATGAAATATAAATAAGTTGTATGATTACAGTGCATATTTTTGTGTGGTGGTATCTATTATCATTGCTTAAAGTGCATAATGAAAAAATATGATGGTATTTATGATGTTACACTTTTTATACTTAGCATTATATTCACTAACCAACTACATTATCTACCAGATGCTACACTGTCTAGGCTACTCAGAGATTTGCAGATCATTTTCATTATCTAAAAGAAATGTAAATTGAACATAATTTAGTAATCAGTTTAGAGCTCTAAATTTATTTTTTGGCTTGGGAAGTAAGTTGGTCATGGTCTATTGTACTAATGTTCATTTGTGACGATTTACCTGCAAACTCTATTTCTCACATTTCCTTGTCATGTGGCTTCCAGAGATATTTGACCTAGGGGAGGTAGGGATGGGACTGGGGATAATAGTAAAGAGGAAGGTTAGGAGAAAGCCAAATAATTCTCCCTCATTGGCTCATTCTCAGCAGTGTCTTACAGTAGTGGATGATTTTCTCTGAGGATTTAGCTCCCTACTAGACAGACAATATTGAGTTCTGATTCCCACAAGCAGCTCCTAGTATATGGAAGTAAAACTTCTCTCCTATGTACATTGAGCCCTAGAATTGTTAGTGGCTTCCTACAATTGCTAAACTTTTGGTTGCTTCCCCATACCCTATTGGCTTCTCGGCTCTTGCAGAACTCATTACCTACATATTAAATTTCCTCAATTTTAATTACATAGAGTGGTTTCATGGCTGGCCTCACTGATGTAAGAATTATAATAATTTATAATGTTTTCAATGTAAGTTTAAATTTTATAATTATTTTCCAAGTCCAGGATATGTAACTTCAATACTCTTGCCAATGATGAATGATGGAATAAGGCACAATATTCAGAAACAGTTTGGATTCACTGTCCTTGGGTATGATGAGGGAAGACATCCTTCAATTTATAGAATTCCTGATTGTAGAGATACCAGAAATCTGTTTCATCAGCTCTACGTTATTTCCACATAAGTCCCAATTGTCTTTAAATGTCATTAGGAAGTCCTTTACTATAAGGACTATGGGTATAGAAGTCACTGATAGTATTGTGTCAGGAGCAATTGGTTTGAAAGCCCATATACATTATTGTATGGAAATATGTGTGGGAGGAAAGAGTGATAATTGAGAGGAAGTGATGTATAAGGTCAAACTAATATAGTTAAACAAGTGATATGACATTAAGAAAACATGTTGGGCATTGTGAGAAGAAATTTGACTTCCTGGTTTAATCACTTATTTAATATAATCTTAGACCACTTAACTTTCCTTAATTCTCTTTTCTCTAATAGAGGAGAGAAATCTAAATGTGATAATAGGGAGGTAGAATATTCTTTTTCTTTTTTTCTATTTTTGTTTTTATAATAGGGATTCAAATCAGGGGCACTTCACCACTAAACTACATCCCCCAGCCATTTTTTGTTTGTTTGTTTGTTTTAAATTTTAAGACAGGGTCTACTTAAGGTGCTTACGACCTCACTAATTTGCTGAGGTTGTTCTCCAACTCACCATCCTTGTGAATCAGCCTCCTGAGTCACTGGGATTACAGACATGGACCACTGTACCTTGCCTGGAAGAATTTCTTGATGAGAACAAAATGACCTGCAAAGAAAAAGCAATATAGAATGTGCAGATTATCAGAAATTGTGAATAGATTTCAAAATAATTATATGAGAAAAATTAATTCTAGGATAACAAAAAGGCAAGGAGACATAATTTCTAGTTTTTTCTTGTGGAAGTTGCAACATTCCTGGTCTAACTGGGTTTTTGCCAGTTAAATTACTTCTCAGTATTTATCCAAAAGAATTAAAGTCAGTGCTGGGGATATAGCTCAGTTGGTAGAGTGCTTGCCTCTCATGCACAAGGCACAATCGCCAGCACCATAAAAAATAAATAAAATAAAATCAGCATAGTGTAGTAGTGATACATACATACCCACATTTACAACAGATCAATTCACAATAGCCAAATTATAGAAACAGTTTAGTTGTCCATCAACAGATGAATAGACAAAGAAATTACAGTGTATATACATTATGGAATTCTATTCAGTCATAAAGAACCAAATTATGTCTTTTTACAAGGAAATGGATAGAACTGGAAAACACCATGTTAAGTGGAATAAGCCAGACTCAGAATGTCAACGGTTGTAATTTTTCTGTCTGCATGTATGTTGTATGTGGAAGCAGACAGAAAAAGGGGAGAAAAGAGGGATCTCATGAAAATACAAAGGAGACCAGTTGAGCAGGGAGGGAAAAAGGAAGGAAAGGGGAAGTGCTAGGGAATGAAATTGACCAAATTACATTATATGCATGT